TATTTTATATTTAAACAAATTTTCATTAGACATTATATTATACAACTATTAAATGATTACCATTTTTAGGTATCTAATACTATTTGAAGACCAATACATTTTATTAAATGTCGACACCTTCTGAAGACATGGACTTGAGTCGGCACAAGTTTCGTCGCTATGAATCATCATTTTCAAAACTTAATGAATATCGCAAGTAAGAGAACGTGGAAATAAAATATATTAATAATTTATAATGGTAATTTTATGACACGATGATTTGTATGTTTAGAGATGGTACATTGTGTGATGTTACTATTAAGTCTCAAGATGGAAACGAAATACATGCTCACAAATGCGTGTTGGTATCTAATAGTGAATATTTTGATAAAATGTTCATTGGGGCATTCAAAGAGACCACTCAAGATGTTGTACAAATTAATGATATTAGCAGTAATGCTTTGAAAAATTTAATTGATTTTATGTATACGGGTGAATTGGTTACGATCGGTAGTGATAACATTGATGTAAGTTACGATTTTTTTTATTCATCCCAACAAATACAACTCGTTTCAGTATTGTATAAATGCTTAATGGTATATACATTTTATTTTTAAAGGAAATGATGTACGGAGCTGATTTGTTCCGAATGGAAGATGTTCGAAATGAATGCATTTCATACTATCGTTGGTCATTGTGTGACGAAAATTGTTTGACGATTAAAGACATAGCTGATTTAAGAGCCATGACTGAATTATCTGCAGAATGTTTAAATCATGCTCTAGAACGTTTTAAGTTAGTTGATGATCATGTTTATGAAGATAATTTAGGGCATCGATTGAATTCTCTAAAAAGTGCAACGAATACCTTAATCACTAATCGATTCATTTTGTATTGTACCTAAATGCCAAAAATAATTGGAATATTTAAAACGTATTCGTGTGACCAAACAGTTTTAGCAATATAGATTTTTAATCACGAGATCATTTAACATGTTAAACATCAATTCAGGTCGTAGTAAACATGTTTTTTTCCATAGCTTGGTGTGAGGTGCGGACGTGCGGTCGTATAATGCTCAATCTGTGGAAACGCACTGCAGAGCGTACGTTCCGGCCGCAGTTGCTAGCTCCCGGATGAGAACCACACAGGATTTTTAGCAACATATCCTTGCCATACATACATAAACACGTGTTACAACCCTACCAACTTAAAAATCTACTAACAAAAATATACAAAAATAACCCCTACCATACCACCCACACCCAATAGCCTATGTTGTCCCGGATTCTCTCTATAATAATAATAAAAAAAAATGCTTCAAGTTCATATTTTCGATCTGTATAAGCATGTTAATATTTATAATTTATTGACATTATAAATTTTTCGTGAGTAACAGCGAGAAATTCGGTCATTAAGGATACGTTGTGAATATCAATGTAATACACATATAAATATATAATATGTATAGTTAGTAAAATATATAAAATAACACTTAGGTATAAATTGACAACATTATATTACTTTAAATTTCATTCAAAATTAAACTCTCGCAGTAATCCATTGATCAAAAACAACTATCCTCCATCTCATTGCCCGGTAATTTACGCAGCGAAGATTCAAAAGACAGTAATCTAGAGATCTACTCAAAAAATAAATTTAAAACAATAAGTAATACCTAAAAAATAGAACCTGGTCGGGAGGCACGCTGCAGCTTAGTGCCTGCCCATAAACGGTAACTCCGATTATATTTATTCTTGTATCGAATTTACTTATTACACTAAATACACTGTATAAATTGTAAATAAAATGTATAATAATATAATGTAAAAAATAAAAAGGTATAAATCGCAAAAATTCTCTGAATATAAAAAATCTTAAATTTTTAAATTTTGTGAAACTAACTTTTTCATGAAAAACAATGTTTTAGAACACTTAAAATACAACTATTATCCTATTTTATCCGTACAACMATGTCCTGATTATTTTATTACATAAATAGTTGATATATACAATTTTAAAATATTAATTTAAGTTTATTTCGTAGTGAAATAATCCGACATCAATCTTTTTTGAACGCCAACGTTGAACATATAAAACAACTGTTAAAGGACGATAATTTGAATACTAAAGAAGAGGAAACAGTTTGTATTCTTTTATCAAAACAATAATATTTAATAGGTGGTATCTATATGGTAAGTAGTGGGTGCAGGCGGTGCGGCTACCTCTATCTTATAAAATAATCRGTGGGCGCAAAATAATCAATTTCATCTGTATAGTATTCAACATTTTTAATAGGTATACTATTTTCTTAAAAACGTGTACATTTGTCGTTATTTAATGTTATGAAATAAAAAAATAAATATATTTTTATATATCATAAAATCATAGTATAAAATTTTTAATGTAATTTAATGTAATTTAATGTAATTAACAAATGTATTATTTATTTTTATTGAAAACATTTTAAGCTTAAAATAATGTATAAGTTTTCGGGTTGGAGCCCCACAAGTAAAATCATGTAGTAAATAATCTATTAAATTTCCACTATGTGCCACCTATGACAATATTATTTTTACAATTTATTACCATCATAAGTATATATAATTTAATGGTAGAGAAAAACTAAACATTTTCCAGGTATACAGAGCTGTCATAGAATGGACAAAACACAATGAAACCGAGCGGAAACATTTATTGCCAGAATTGTTGACACATGTTAGGTTACTATTTGTTACAATGGATTTTCTGCAGCAAGAATTTGAGTCTGAACCACTAATTACATCGAACCCTGAATGTGAGTTTAAGCTGATTTTAAACGATTTAATAAAAATACAAACAATTATAGAACCTATATAATTTATTTATATTATATATAAAATATAATGASAATGATTATGTTAACTATTTAGGTTTGCAGGTTTTCAAGAAAATATTTGACCATATTAATTATAAATACGGTGACTCTATGTCTAAGATAATAACCAACACCAGGCCTAGAGTGAATACCATCAATAAGGTAATTTTAATAAAATAATACAATACTGACTGGATTAGAAATTAAAATATAAATTGATTGACATCAGGCGCGAATCCAGAGGGTGAGCCGGGTGAGCCACCCAAAATTTTCAAAAACAATAATTTACATTTTGAATATTGGCATTAAAGTTGTTATTTTAGAATTTTTACTATAAGTTTTAAAATTGATTTTATCAAATATTATATATTATGTACTAATCGTGCACGGGGAGTATAACAAAAGAACATTAGGTACCTTATATAGTTATATCTAGGTACCTTTTATAATAAGTTATTATTAATAACATGCAATTGCCCGTATGATTAACCTAATTTTATCTAAATATGATATACCTATTGCGGTAAATAAATATTTATTAGTGATAAAATTGGATCACTTTTACATCTATAGTATCAGGTTATAACTCAGAGCCCAGAGATAGTGGAAACACTGGTAAAATAAATAGTTTGATTATTGCAAAAAATGATTTAAGGTTTGAAGTTTAAACATCACCATATTATCTAACAATAAAAAAAAAATGGTATTTTCATGTTCAACAACTTAAAACTTAACGCAAAACACAAAATGTTATATGTATTTCCATCCATTGGCAAGGTAGGGCACTTGCCCTCTCCTCCCTGGACAAAAAATATTAAATAATTACCAAGGCAAATTATATAGATAACGACTTAAGTATCTTAAATTTGAGAATTTTTTTATCTTGATCCCTTCTAAATTTTTACCTATGGACACYCCTGTTTCCATCGTATTAGTAGACATATTAGGTATACGCGTTTGACATATTCTTTAGTACAACTGAAACAGTAATACCTATATTGTACGAAAAAATGATCTAATATAAACATTATTATTTTACAATTTAGTAGAATAAAAATTTTATTGACTTATCCCATTCCAAAAAT